CAGGATTCCCTTAAATTAGTCAAACATACGAGGAGAGATTCAGCCGGGGTAACAATCTCGATGTGCATTTTCACCCACCGGTTAGCTGCAGCGCTGGATGGTTCTCATTACCCTAATAAATATTGACGACTCCTCTGCTTAAAAAAAAAAAATTTTAAATCTTCCTGCAGCGTATTCTCCAAAATACTGAATTTGTTTTCCTGTGCAATACTGATAAGGAGAGACTCTTTCTTCAGTCCTAACAGCTTCGTGGCTTCTTTTTTTTGTGTTTGGAGAGAGACTGTTTAGAGGAGAACTATTTTTTAAACCCGTTTTTTTGATGAAGCGTATGATTTTACAGTCATTACCTGCTTCTTCATGTTAAATGGGGCGGGGGGGGAAGAAAAAAAGGGAATCCGCCTAACTTTAGTGGCGCATGGGCCATTCAGCCAGCGAACTGCAGCTGTTTGCAAAAGTGCTGAGCATAAAAGCAAAAACTGGAGGGAGCGAAAACTCAAGGACTGTCTAGGAGATGGACAGTGGCTAAGGTTGATTACATTATTACTTCATTTCTGCATCTTCTTGCTGTCCTCATTCCCCACTGATACTAATTGATGCCAGGAGTATTACAAATGGGAAAGTTTCTTGTTTTGTTCTTGGGAAGAGTTATCTTTATTGCTCCGGTTCTATTCTAGTCCTGTATTTTAGAAATGTACTTAATGGGCTAACTCAAGTCGCGAATTGCTCTTCTTTGGTTATAAAAAGTGATCACTGGAACTCTGCTATCTGTCCAAAATTGCATGTGTCATTGAATAAACCTAAGTTAAACAAAAAATGTGCTTTGGTGGTACCAGGCTGTGCACGCGCTCCGTCTGTTGACCTGCACCAGCTAGTACGCGAGTATTTCCCACCTAGACCCGAATCCCTAATTCGCTGTCACTTGTGTCAGAACAGAAGTTTCTTTGTCTTGCTGCCAGGTGCCTAAACTAGCGGATGCCAGTCTCTCTGGAAGTCAAGCCAGTTGCCGCATTACTTAACATTTGTGCGACCGCTTTGACCACAGCTCTTTGCAAGCTGAGTTTTCAGAAGCTGCTTTTCAAGAAACAGTCTCCATAGCCATACGATACGCGGTACATGACATCTGTACAAGTTAGGCGTGCCCCTTTTGCACTTGGTGAGGCCAGAGATTGAGGGCTCAGGAAATTGTGTACGAGGAAACGTGTCTTTCCCAGGTCACAGTTCCCGCATGGGGAAAGATCTGGTGACTGGAGAGGTACAAGGTAGATGGCACCTCCTGATCTCCTTGGCCTGGCGTGGACGAGCCTTTGACCCATTTAAGAGGCTGCTTCTGGTTTGCATGAAGCCCAGGTCTGTCCTAAGCCACCTCTGCTGGGAGGGGATGGCAGGGACTACCTCTTGCAGGCAGCATTAACTCCTGCTGGTTTTTTCACAGGTTCAGAAAGTGAATGTGCAGACCTGTCCTAGTCCCTTGGCCCAAGACACCTTCACAGGGCACTAACAGGAGAGGTGCATCTAGAGGAGACTTCCCCAAAGAAACCGAGGCCATTCATGGACTCTGCCCTACTGAGTTTGACTGGCTTCAGCACCTCCCCGCCAGGACAGGAGCAGCCCTACTTGTCTTTAACTCCGGTCTTTGCTTCGTGGGTAGAGGTATGTATCTCAGACTCCCGCACTCCCAAGGCCCAGCCTTAACCATGGCATATTGATAGAGCGGCTCCTAGCAGCTTGTTCGGATGTGCTCCCATGTCACACACCAGTGTAAAATAGGAACACTTGGGCCAGATCCTAAGCGGGGTATAAACTGGCAGAGACCCTAGCGCTATGCCATTTATATGGTTGGGGATTTGTCCCAATGGCTCCCGTGGAGTTGCACACACTGAGGATCTGGGGCCCTGCCTTTCACCTGTTGCCTTTAACATACGTTGCATTAATGGGAACTTGGACAAAAAGACAGGACCTCCTACACCATGCACGCTGTGTTCAGCAGCAAATGTGTTGAAAAACTAATTGCGGCTTGCGCAACGCGGCCGCATAAACCCGAACATCTCAGCCGACTTCTGGAAGAAGGAGAAACCCAGGAGGGACTCTCAGGTTCTGACATTTCCTTCCTACTGCTTTTTTCACATAATTCATTCGAGTTGTGGAAACGAAAGGAAATCATTGAAACCCACAAATCTTGTTGCACTCCCATAGCTTTACAAACAGCCGCCTCGAATGACGAGAAACGGACCGTCTTGACTCCCACAGCCTGTCCCCGCGCACCAAAATCAAATCCACTCTCCGACTACATTTCTTTTTTTTTAATGCTGAGTCTCGGATCACAAAATAATGTCTTTTTCTTTCTCCCTGGGCCAGAAACCGCTACAAATTGCAATTCACAGGAATAATGTCAGGGCCTCGTTGGGGTTTTTAGGAAATGCTTCCTTCTGAGATGGATGGGCGCTGGCCCGAGAGTGAGGTAAGAGCATGCTGGCAGATCTGGCCCGCTGCCTATCACTGTGCTAACAGCTCCGCTATAATGCTGCGCCTCTTTTATGTCTGCAAAATAACGGACCGGACCGAGCAAACTAGTGTAAGGCCCGGCAGGGCGAACACGTGGAACCACAAGGTCAAGTCAGTCCACACCAGTTAGGATTTTTAACACAGTTCAAGCCAAGGTCAGTACCAAAAGTTCAAACGAAATCCAGATTAACACATACAGAAGGGACTGTGTTGTCACCGTGAGTCTCGTTTCCTTTCAGTCTTGCCAGAGAGCAGCCATCAGGGACAAAGTGCTTTGAAGGGAAGGCGACTGCTGTTCTTCCTATTGCTGTAGCCTCAAATAGCTTTGTTGCCAGTCCTTTATGAACACACAAAGTGGGATGATGCCTAATACAGAATGGTGTCACTGGAAATGTATTTGTTGTTGGCAGGCATTAAATCACGTTTTTATAAGTGGTGCAATATGGCCATGTGGAAATTCCCAGTCTGCAAGAAACTCCTTTGAATCAGGATATTTTGTTTAAAGGGGGGGGGGGGATTTGCAAACTGGGGTTAGTGTGAAAACATTTCCAGTCTGGTTCGTAAAGAAGAATGTGCCGAACCCACTGCTGGTGACAGCCCCTGAGCCGAACTGCATCTGCAACATTAGCCACGTGCTCTGCAGCCAAGGAGCCTTGTTTTCTGATGCCGGTCATTCAGCTTGGATATAGTCACAGATGAGCCAGCTGCCCGGGCCGGTGAGAGCTGAGCGCGCTGCTGCGGTGAATCTGCAGGCCGACTCCACAAGACGCATACGTGTCGGCCTAACTTTAGGCTCATGAGTCATCCACTGAAGTCATGTGTAAGCCCCTTGCCAAAGGCGGTCCAGATACCATACCCCCTTTGGACAAAGAGCCAAGTGTTTGAGAGGGACAACACCTCTCCGCTTCCTCTCTGGCCTTACAGTCCTGTTGGTGCGAGGCTGCTGCTTGAGGATGCTTGCTGGAAACCTTCAGGGTTTGTTGGCTGTGGTGCAACCGCATGGATGCTAAGAGTGTTCTGCCCGTGTTAAAAGGAGTAACATTTGGCCCATAGGGTTTGATCCTTACTTCGCCGTGGCATGCTCAAAGCGCGGAGGAATTGCCCTGCTGCTCCTACCAGCGTTTGTAGGGTCAGCCCTGTGCCTGGAAGCCTTTTCAGGCCTCTTATTGCTTGGCCCCTCCGATCAATCATATGGGCACCAAAGGCATCGCTCAAGTCAAACGTCACGTTGCCACTGGTTTCAGCGCAGACAGAGTTTCACTCTCTTGCTCAATCCAAATCTGGCGAAAGCAAAGTAAAAAAAAAACAAAAAAAAAAGACTCCCATTGGCTTTGATGCACTGTGAATCGGGCTCCTCCAGAGCAACGTAACTAATCCAAAGCACGTTTTTGAAGTGCCGTCGCTCCAAACCACATGGCCAGCAGGCAGAAATGCCCTGCCTCGATACAAAACGCAGCCTAGACCAGAGCCCAAAAGACCTGCTGGACTTGCAGGTTTTTAAACTGCTTCCAGTAGTAGCAAGCAGTGGCTTCCCGCTGAGTTCAAAAGGCAAAATGTCTCATTCGAGGCTGGCGCGACTGTATATCACCCTCTGTACAAAGTGGAGCCCTTCTATTACAGCCGGGTTTGGGTTTCATGAATTAACATGAGATATTGCTTTCTTAGTCTACCCTGGTTTCTGTAATAAACACGAGGGTGTATTGCACTTAAATCACGGGAGAGGATCCTTGCCCGGCAGCAAAAATGGAAAGAAAATGACCCCTGAATGCGGCGGTTTGTCGTTCGGCTCCTCTTTGTTTTAGACGTAGGTTGGCTCTCGGCACGAGCGCAAGGCCTGGGCCTCGCACAAGAGCCCGAGTTTCAGACTAAGATCCGGAGAATGACTGCGGTGAAGGCAAAGCGGCAAGGGCCACATCCCCCAGGTTCACTTGACTGTGTCGGTAAGACGGCGCGACCATAAACCCTGCCTTGCCAGGCGGTTGCACCAGATTTGCATTGCTAGGGTGGCGCAGAGTTGCCAAAGCAGACCTGTAAATCTAGCCCTTAATGGTCAGTGCAAAGAAACGGTGATTACCAGCCAGGCTGCCCCGTGCCCAGCTAGCAAAGCGTAGGAAATGTGCTGGTAACGGAGCTGCCATCAGCTGCCTTCCAGTGCGCGAACTGATCAAGTTAAAAACCATCGAAAAAATATACGTCTCAAGTCCCAAATAGCCTTGCAGAACGAATCCCGAGCATGGGGCTTTCCTTTAGGAAAAGGGACTGTGAAATAAGCCCCATCCTCCAGAAACAACCAGAGAAATGTGCCTGTTGCTCACTCTTTCAAGTGGACTTGATTAGTGGGATATTGGGTGGGAGGGGAGGTTACGGAGGATTAAACCTGTGTGCGACTATTCCCCCATATTTCGTTTATCGCAGCTTTGGAGAAGAAAGGGCCTTTGGCTTGTTCTCATGCAGGGTAGGAAAGTTTGCACCATTTCCTGTTGTCTTTCCCTTATGCTCCTGAGATATTGTAAAAATGTTCGGTATCCTCCAGTAGGTTGTAATCACTTCACTGTAATGTTTCACAGCTGCTAAGTGTAACTTTAAACTGCACCATTTGAATGCTTACAATTAGCAAGTAAGTGGGGCTGAGATCACATCTTCTGAGTTTCAGCAACAACAACAACAACAAAAGTTGCTTAACTTTGACCAAAATTGGAATAAAGTTATGGACCTCGACTGGAGGTTTGGGAGGGTTTTTTTAACAGTTACTCAAAGTGCCTCTAACAGAGGGAAAATAATTAAATCCCCTGCTTGGCCATTTGCACCAAGGAAAGAGGCATTTGGACAAACGTGCGTGGGGTTGGGTTTTGGGGGTTTTTTTAAACCATGTATTACAGTTATGCTCTCCCCTGTGCTGTTGCTTTTGACTGATATCATTGTAGCTGATTAAAATGAAATGAATAGCTGAAAAGAGGATTTCATGCCTGTTTTCTGCTTGTCACCTGCCCCTTCCTCAGCATGTTTCTGACCGCGTGATTAATAATACAGAGAGGCAAAGACTGCAAGTTGGCATTTTCCACACCAGTTACGATCCGGTACGAGCCTTTGGCCAGGACAGCATTAGGCTGGGTGTCTCCGGGCTGGATGCGAGCCTATGGACGTGTGTTAAATCCTGCCCACAATGCAGAAGGAGAAGGCATTAGGAAACGAAGGTGCTACATTCCTGCGGCATTGCCGGCTCTCCGGGGGGAAGGGGAGCAGCAGTGTAGAGCACGTTGCCAGAAAAAGCGATTACCTCAACCAAGTGGCCCACGCCGCACGGATTTTGATAGCTGGGGTGAACGCGGATCCAGTTTGGTGTGATGTTTCCCACAGCTCGGTGGCCGTGGGTGCAGGATCCCCCTGGTGCACCGGCAGATTTGGTTGCAAATCAGGCCACGAGTCTAGACAGTCCCCGCGTGGGGTGCAAGGGGTGGGTGGGGCGTCCCTGTGTCTGTGAGCTCTCCGACGGGCAGATTTTGATGCTGAGCTGTCTGTAAATCCGTTCCCCGCCTTTGACAAAACTTTTCCTCCTGTTTATTCCTTAAACATTAATTGAAGAAAGGTGGACGCGGGAGCCAAAAGTCCACTGATGATTCAGCACCTCGCCAGATCTAGTTGCCTGACCAGTCCTTCCCTGCCCGAGTCTAGCAGAATAAAGGTCTGGTAAAACAGACTCCACCGCTCCCCGCTCCCGGGCAACGTGCATCCCACGGAGATTGCTAAAGAGAGCGGGTTACAAAATGACAAAAGCAAAGGGCTTGTGTTGACACGGGGCCGAGCTGCAAACCTGTCCAGGTTTCAAAGGCGGGACATTTTTCCAATCCCATATTATAGTTCATGTGCTAGCCACTGGTATGGACCATTCAGACTGAGATGCAGCTGTAGGTTGCCGATTCTCCCAAAGACACGCCTTGGGTTTCGGTTCCTGCCCATCTCCTGTGGAAAACACTGGCTCCGTTCACTGTAGTTGCACTTCGCCCTTTTGCAGCACCTGTCCGCCAGAGATTTTCACTTGTTTTAAAGCATTCATTTGTAAAGCTCGAGCAAGAACTTGGTGAGGTAAGTATTATTCCCATTGTGCAGATGAGTAAACTGAGGCACAGTAACACTGACTTGCCTGAAGCTGCGGGGCACGTTAATAGCAGAAGCTTAACTCCTAAGACTCAGTTATAAGCCCCTGGCTATTAGATCACTAGTTCCTGAGGGTGGCACGGACACTGAAGAGCTGTTGCTGTTTGCCCTGATAACATTTGGTGAGAATCTGCAGCACATGATCATCGTCCTTTGGGGCCGGGGTTGCACAGCCCTCTCTGTTAGTCACTGACAATTATTCTTACTGATACTTGACACATCATTAGATGTCCCACTTTATTCTTCCTGTTGAAGTCTGGGAGGTGTCAACCTGACAGTCACCACTGCATTAATCATGATGACTGTGTCTGGAACAAAACCAACCGAGCAAAAATCCCCTGGATTTAATTGTATATCAATCTCTCCGTGCATCTCCTTGTAGGCTCCTGGGCAGGTGGTTTGCACGGTGACGAAACGAGGGCCTGTGGCTTATCCTGAAATCTCTGTGTTTTGGCATCTGTGGATTCTTGCTGTCTTTAAACAAAGATGGGCTACACCGGAGAAGCTGGGTGCCAGCTCCTTGGCTTTCTTCTTATGTTACACAATGTGCTAGGCAGGGCAGACCGCTGGTGATGACTGTTTAATACTGATGTTGCTGATGGTCTCAGAGACCCCGGCTGGAAACAAAAACACCCGGTGCCCTGGACACTGCGCGGTGCGACGTGAACACCTGACCTGATACCTCCTCCCGGGGTCGGATCCCCTGCCACCTGGGAACAAACAGCCGGGACAAGAAAAATCCAGCTGTGCAAAGCAGCCTGAGACATCAAGTCCGTATTGCACCAAACTCCTGACAACTGCCCACAACTCTGGGGAGATGGAGCGTGGGCAGCAGCATGGGAAAGGCTTCTGCTTTTTATCACCCAAGAGGCAAGGCCAGCAAGCATACGACCAGTACGGAGGCCACTGCACCCATGGAGGCTCCAGCCTGTGTGTGTGACCTCGGCAGCTTGTCCAGCTCCCACGTGAAACGCAGGCTGCATAAGTGATTGCAAGAGTTGCCACCCCAGCCTCCTCCGTCTCTTTCTGGAGGAGAGATGGAAGTTATCTCTCCACCTCCCATTGCAACCGGGAGATCAAAGGAAGAGGCAACTCCTCTGGCAACTGGAGATGAATGATGCAAGGACTTGTGACCTGAATTCCTTCTCCAGTAGCTGCAGGCTCTGCTTTTGCTTGGACCCCTGCATAGCATGCAGCTTGCCTTGGAAAATTTGGGGCCCAGTCCTTTAGGGAGCACAGCGCTCCCGAAGTCACAGAGTGCTCAGCACTTCCTAGGAGCCGTTCGGTTCCCTGCAGATCTGGGCTCTTTGTGTGCAAAAGTCTTCCCCCGTCAGGCAGCACAACGGATAGAAATCCTGAAGTTATCTATATCCGGAGATACAGACTCCGCGACCGTCAAGGCATGGGAAGGCATGTGGAAACGAATCCAGGCCTAGCCTATGCAGCTAAAACTCCTGTTAAAGCGAACAGCTCCCTGTTGACCAAAGCTGAATGAGAACCAAGGGAACTGGTACCAGAAAAGACCATGCAGTCTTGTAAGGAAGCTTTCATCGCGGGGGATAAGTGCTGTGAACATCTTGTCGGGAGATGGGTAAAGGCCACTGCTGGCATCTGCAAATGGCCCCGTTTGTTCTCAGTGGGGGAAACGGATGCAACTATTTCCCAAAAGTTTTGGTTCCCTCGGTCGGCCTGGATGCTGGGTCTCTTATTGCACCAGTTTGCAGATCCCACTTCCAGTCCAGGTTCTACGGGGCTCACGGCCCCTAGTTTGGGAACCACCATCCTGGACTGGGAGCAATTTCGGACCAGGACTGTCGTCTTTTTGCATGCGTCCGTGCCATGCTCAGCCCAAGAGTGTTCCTTGACTGGGGTCCCTGGGCACCGCTGCCATTGGGTGATAAATAGCAGTTGCTAGAAGGCCCGTTATAAATCAGAGGCGAGGCTATGAACTTTCTCAGGCACTTGGATATCACAAAGTGTTCTCCAGCATTAGCAAGAAGGCTAGGAATAGGCCAGTGATGTGGTTGACAGCAATTTGAAGTTAATTTCTACCGTGATGCACTTTAACAAAAAAAGGTCATCGGGTTAAAATCCAATCTGTAAGCAAGACCTGAAATGCCTCTTTAAAATTAGCATGTCATGAACTGGTTACGGCACAGACCGCACTATTTTTTTTCCCCTTTTATAGAAGGCAATTGCTTTCCTCCGCGTATTTACAATATCATTACTAAAAATATAATGAACACGCTTTAGCGAGAGCACCCGGTCTCCATTACTGTATCTGATTTACAGCATGGCACAAAACTCAAACCTAGCTCTGAAACAGATGGGAAATGCCACAAAAGACGTGTGACCTGAGCGCAGGCCTGCTGCCAGGAAGCCCCAACTTCTAATCTTGGCTCTTAAAACTCTGCCCGTGGGCAGCTCCCGTCAACGCTTTCTTAGTCTCCTCATTTGTAAAATGTGAAAAATGTGTCTTTTTTTTTTTTTTTTTTAAGCTGTACTAAGCAGAGCAGAATACCATGTTCAAGGGAGCCAGTGCCACAGTCCACTTCCACCCGAACACTGGGAATAATCAGATAATAAACTCCCATCGCCACCCTCCTCCGTTTGTGAAAAGCCAACTTGCACATTTTTACGAGAGAGCAACGATCCCCTGAACTCCCCTCATGAAGAGAGGAATGACCTCGGTGAGAAACCTTGGACGCACGAAGGTTAATAGTTATATTAACTTGCCGCAGGTCCTGTGATGTTTGACATTCGATGATTTCTTTTCAACCAAAACTCTGGAGAAAACAAATGGTAGGTAGGTGTCCTGGTTCCTGAACAGCACAGGAAAGGACTTTGACAAGAGTTAGCAGCAGACTGAAGGTTATGAGCCAATCTCTGCGTGGTCATCCTCATTCAAGCAGAAAACCAGCGGCAGCACCTGCAGTGAGTTGGTTGCCCCGATCTTTCCTCCTCCAAAAACCATAGGGAGACTGCTCTGTATGCCACGGCTTCAATCCTAGAGGCAGGGCATAGTCCTGATGAAACTGAGCCCAACCCGCTCTGCTATCTCCAGGAGAGGGGGATCCCTCCTGAACCTTGGCTTACACCGAAGCACATCTGAGTTATCCTTTTTCCACCGGTTTAAGCAATCGAGGGGAAAAGTCTGCGAGTCACGTGGAGATGACAAGTCACTTTCTCACGTACGCAAGTGCCAAAATGATTCCTGCCCTTGGTAACACGCGGTGTGCAAGGGCGTTTTGCAAAGGGCTAGTCCGGTCTTGCCGACCTCAGGTATTCTCATGCTGTGAGTCACGCCCCAGGAAACCAGGAGCTTGGCCTGTTTGTCAGCACGGGGTTCCTGTTCGTCTTCGAGTTTGTTTAATTAGGATGCACCTCAGGGTCATGTTTTCATGATTTTATCTGTGGGCTGAGGCATCTCGTACCCCATCATGGGATTCCAGGAACTGGGGATTTACAATACCCCCCGCTTGCCCCCATTTGTGAGACTTAAGCTGAAATGACGTGAGTTGGAGACAGCGCCAGTCTCAGGACAAGGGAACGCATCCGGCCCTCGGTTTTCCGGCATTTCATGTGTGCTCTGCACGCCCTGATCCAACAGCGGCTCGGTGGATTAGCTGACTGCCCCCACGCGAGCCAGACTGTGTGCTCTGCGAGAGGCTGGGTTTGCTTTTAATTGAGAAAAGCTGTTGACGAGCATCCACCGAGACACTGTCCCCTCTGCAATGCTTGCCGGTTGTGTTAATAATTCGGATGCCTCCTTCTGCTTTGATGTTTCTGATTCATGGATTTGGCCAGGGCGCCACAACAGATGCTTCATCTCCGCTCCTCTGGTGGGTGGTTTAACAATTCTCGGCAATGACACGCGCACGGAAAGGTGGGACGGTGCTGGGCCCAGGCACCTGTACAAACAGCAGCTTGGGGCGAATCGCCACTGGGAGCGGAGAGCGTGTAGCTGTTCTGAAACAGCGGAGTCCTTTTGCGTGGGGGGGAGACATTCAAAGGTGCAGACTAGGGAACTCAGTGAAGTTCGGTGAGAATGGCATACCCAAGTGCCTTTGAAAATCTCCCCTGTGCATGACTACGGCACCCAGATCCTCACTGCTATTTAGGTTCCCGACTCTGTTTCATGTCAGTAGGAATTGGGTACCTAAATACCTTTGAAGACCTGGGCTCTGAAACGCTGGCGTCTGTGGGCTGGGATGTTTGTATGATGAGGCTCGTGCACAAACCGTGTCTCCTCAGCATGCATCGTATAGGGTCAGGGGGCTGCAGCAGACGGAGGCAAGGTCCATAGCCCCTTACTGCGGAGGGCCATGCTTATACGCCTCTTTTGAATCGTAGCCTTCGCTGGAGCTCGCATGGGAGCCCGCCCTGCGCTGGGCAAAGCTGGGAGATGCTGTGCCTGATGCGCTCTGGGAGGACTCATATATGTTAAGGCCAAGAAGGGATCGTTATCACTTATCACTCGCTCAGCCATCCCCCTGCACAATACAGGCTGCAAATCTCCACTCTGATATTGCAGGCCACGAGCTGGCTAATTAGAAAGTGTTTGAAAGCCGTCCGTAGTAGCTAATGAAGAAACTTGAAGCGACCTGCGTGAAGCAGTTCCCCTGGCACTGAGTGCATGGCTTCACATCTGTGATGCAGTCAAAATCTGAGAGATGGGGTTAGGGGCGGAAACAAAGCCTTTGCTCTCCGCCGCCACACGGAAGAGAAACACCTTTGACCACCGAGCAGGTGGGGACACGTCCCTGTGGGAAGTCGAGTACTGGGGGCTTCGAGAAAAGCAGGGAAGTGCAAGGAAGGAAAAGCTTAAAGGGCAGTTTTCTCGGTGCTTGGAAGACAGCGGATGAGACTCACCTGACGCCCTGCAGCTCTCGCAAGCAGCAGCTCTGTTTCTGCCAGGCTGCGGGCGCTCCCCGCTCCCCTTTCCTTCCCATCGGTGCTCAGAGTCTGAGTCGAGAAGTGAGGACGGATTTACGGAAGACGTCCTGGCGTAAGGTGAGACTGGAAGAATATAAAACAGATGGTAACTAGAGAGGCCGGCTGGAGCAAATGAAGGTTGCTTTTTATTTGCAACATGAAGGGGAAGAAATCAAGGGAGGGAATTACTGCGGGTTGTAAAACCGGGGCGACTAATATATGCGGTGCTTAGAGCTTTGCGCTTCCCCCGGAGAGACCTGATCCCCCGTCTCTCCAGACACTGGTCCCTTTTACAGAGTGCGAGTGTATTTTCTCAGCTGAGATTCATTGATCCCTATCTGGTGCTGAGTGTACGCAGACAAAGCAGAGAGGGGGCTTATTAAGTGCCTGGCGGCCTCACCATTGTGTCCACTATCTTTGCTTCCCTTTCAGCTTTTCTTTCCTTGGCACAGGTTTTCAAGCCCGTGTGTCGAGAGATTAGTGACCTATATGAAGGGTAATCCCTTGATTTGCACGCAGCGTTACCTGAGTTTGGGCATCCAGAGGAAACGCATCTTGAGAGCCGGCGGGCCGACCCAAGAGGAGGCAAAGTTCAGAGAGGAGATATTTCGGGCCCGGGTCTCCTTTGTGTGCAATGAGCGTTGACGCCACCGCTGCACGCTCCTCTCATGCTTGAAGCCTGGGCTGATGTCGACAGGCGACCCAGGCACCCAGAGGGCAGCTGAGAAAAGAGATAAGCAGAAAGAAAAGATAATGAGGCAGGGTGTAAAGGCCTCCCGACTGCTGGAGCTGCTTTCCATGCTCACGTTGGTTCTTTAGCACTCGGGCAATGGGGCCTGCGCTCCTAAATCGGTGCTTTTGAAAACCCGGTTGGTAAAAAGCAGCAAAGCTATACGGCCGCTGCATGATGTTAAATTAATCTGTGTGTGGAGGAGCTGCAGGAAGCCTATGTGCCCCTCGAGCCCCCAAAGACTGGGCTCCGTAGCTGTGCATGGACATCACGTAGATTCCTATCCTAGTATCTAGAGCTTTAAGTGTAAAACCAGCTAAAAGAATAAACTGGTGGTATTATTTTGAAACACCAATACTTCCTTTAGACTCCATAATCTCTGGCCGGCTTCTAAACTCTCAGCTCCTTGAGCAGGGGCCGTTTGCTTCTGCTTCTCTGCTGATATTGCACGAGGGTTTGTTTGTAAAATCCAACCCAGGGCTCAGATACAAATCTCATCGGACCCTGACGGAGTTGGAGAAGGGAGGCAACACGGGTCAGCGGATACTGCACTGAGCGGGGTTATAATCCCTCGCTCTGCTACTGACCAGTTTTCCTAGCCTTGGTGGAGCCCCTTCACCTCTCTGTGCCACTCAGCCCCAGCCTTGTTGGCTGAATACATAGGCGTCTCTGAGATGGGGCCGTCTCCTTCTGCCTGAGCGTGTGCTTACAGTTTCTATAACACAGGAACCACACTCATGGTGGGGAGTTTCTAGACATTACAATAATAATAATAATAATAAGCACTGCAGACTTGGGAGTTTGTCCCAGCTCCAGTCTGCTCTAGACAGGTTTTTTGGTTTGCAAAACTTCATCATTAAATGCCAAGAAGTAGGTCTGAAGTTTTGAAGATGAGCGTATAGAAACATTCAGTATTCTCTTGCTACGGATCCGAGTCAACTACACTCATGGTGCGACTCTAATGAAACAGAGCAGGTTAGTAATTCTTCATCATCATCATCATCATAAACCGGGGCGCTTTTTTGTTCGTTTTTGTGCCGTGGCCCTGGACTTTGTTTCTTGCCGTGTTTACTCGGGCTCTTCTTCTCTCTCTGCAGCAGGACAATGACTATCGGCTCCTTTAGAGCAAGACCCAGAGGATGCGCCTGAGCCGCGGGAGGTCAGCCCCGGAACAGACCCGTGAGTCACTGGACAACGCCGCGCCAAACTCAGTGCTGGTCTCGACCGTTTCCTAAACGTTTCCAGACCCGGTTCAAAGCACCAGGCTGCAGCCCCCTCCCTGCAGGCAGATGCAGGCTGGGTGCAGGAGCTGGGCTGGCCGCGGGCCTGGGGAGGGGAGCCCGGGCGCCGGTTTCGAGGGGGAGGCAAGAAGAGGGTTTCCCGGGGTGCTTGCTCGCCCCGGAGCCGCCTCCCCAGG